GATCGGGACAAAATCGGATCGGGATAACTCGAAATCTCTGAGAATCGGCGGGTTTGGAGGATGTATTGGGCGCCGCGGCCGCTCCAGAGCGTTCCGGAACGCTCTGAAAGCGCTCCGGAACGCTCTGGAGCGATTTATCCCGATCATAGCCCTGTTTTAAGCCTCGAGGAGCATTCTGGAACTTCCTGCGGAAAGTACACGCACGGAGTCGAAACACTGCATGGGGAATGGTGTCCGAGCGATGATGAGGGGGTGTAGAACCGAGGGAGGGCGAGGGCAGGGTAGAGGGAAGGGGGGGGGGCTGTGGAGCGGCTTGGGCAATCTGGGATGCTCTGGAGGGTTCTGTGGTGTTCCAGGGGGTCGTCCTCTGCGTGCTCCTCCCTCTTCTTCAATCGATCGTCCTCACATCAATCCCGTTCCTCCCCGCCTCTCCTCCTCCCCTCCTCCCCCCTCGTCCCCCCCACTCTCCCGTTTCCTGGCCCCTCCCGTTTCCCCGCCTCTTCTGGCATTCTCCCGCTCCTTCTTCCCACTCCTCCCTCGTCCCTCCCGCCCTTCTCACTCCCACTCCTCTCTGGTCCCTCTCCCTCCCTCCTGCCCGCCCCCCCCCCTCGTCACTGGGCGGTCTGCCCGCCGCTCTGCTGCCCTCGCCCGCGCCCCGTTTTTCCGCACAGACCACCTTGATATCGATCCGCCGGGTCATCCAGAAGCTCCGCACCGTGACGCCAGAGAACTTCGCCGAGGTGAAGCAGGCCCGGGGGGGGATGGAGGCGGAGGACGAATAGGACGGGAGCGAGCGGCGCTACATGCTTGAAGGTGGATGCTGCTGTGGGAGGGCGGCTACATAATGATGATGCTGCCATGGCGGTTGCGACGGCCGTGGAGCATGTGATAGTTAAGGTCCGCGTGAAGTTCATGGTTTTGACCCATATGGATGTAATGATGATGGGGCAGTGGTAGATCTGGTATGGTCTTTGGGATATAGAAGAGGAGGAGAAGGAGGAGGAGGAGGAGGAGTAATTACATCGGATTGAGAGAAGAAGGGAGGAAGCAACTGAGGGAGCGAGAAGAAACACGAGGAAGAGGAGGAGGAGGAGCAGAAGGAGGGGTGGAGGTGAGGAAGAAGGAGAGAGAAAGGAGGAGAGATGATAACGATGATGATGATAGTGGTAGTGATGATGAGGGGTGATGGTGATGGTGATGCTGATGATGGTGATGATGATGGTGATGGTGATGATGATAATGATCCTGATCATGATGCTGATGCTGATGCTGATGCTGATGATGCTGGTGATGCTAGTGATGATGATAGTGATGCTGCTGGTGATGCTGATGATGATGATGGTGATGCTGATGCTGCTGCTGGTGATGATTACTATGATGCTGCTATTGCTGATGTTGATGATGCTACTGATGATGATGATGCTGATGATGATGAGGATGATGGTGATGAAGATGACGATGATAATGACCATGCTGATGATTGTGATGATGCTGATGCTGATGATGATGATCACGATGATGCTGATTGTGGTGAAGATGACGATGCTGATAATCGTGCTGATTCTGATTACGATGATGCTGCTGATGCTGGTGCTGATGACGATGATGATGGCGATGGTGATTGTGGTGGTGGTAATGATGATGATGCTGGTGATGATGGTGACGCTGAGAATGATGGTGATGATGATGATGATGATGATGGTAATGATGATGGTGATACTGATAACGATGACAATTATGGGGTTGATAACAATGATGGCGATGATCATGCTGCTGGCGCTGATGATGATTATGATGCTGCTGGTGATGATGCGTATGATGATGTTGATGCTGCTGATCATGCTGATGTTGATGAGTACGATGTTGATGACGATGTTGACGACGATGATGCTGATGCTGATGCTGATAATGCTGATGCTGCTTGTGATGATGCTGCTGCGGAGCATGATGAGTGTGATTGTGATGGTATTGATGACGATGATGATGATGTCGACGACGATGATGATGATGATGCCGATGATGATGATGCTGATGATGATGATGATGGTGATGATGGTAATGATGATGATGATGATGATGATGATGATGATGATGATGATGATGGTAATGATGATGATGACGATGATGATGATGATGATGACGATGACGATGATGATGATGATGATGATGATGATGATGATGATGATGATGATGATGATGATGATGATGCTGATGATGATGATGCGTATGCGTATGCTGATGTTGATGCTGATGTTGGTGGTGGTGAAAACCAGGATGAGGACGATGACCATGAGGATGGTCATGTTGATGGCATGATGGCAACAGTGGTGGTGGTGAGGAGGAGGAGGAGGAGGAGAAGTAGGAGAAGGAGGAGGATGAGGAGGAGGAGGAGGAGGACTCCACGCAACCGAGCGGGACAGAGAGAGAGAGAGAGAGAGTCCCCCAAAAGCCTAGGGGGGCCCATCGGAGCGGACCTTTTCGCCACGACGGTGCGGCTCGGACAGGCTTGTGCACCGTGGGTCGGCGACAGGCTTCCCCCCCCCCCAGGACATTGCATGTCTTCGCCCAACTCCTCCTCCTCCTCCTCCTCCTCCTCCTCCTCCTCCTCCTCCTCCTCCTCCTCCTCCTCCTCTCCTCGTCGAGCCTCCTGAACGCGGCACAGCTTGCCGAGCCCTCGAGCTTGGGCCCGTTGGGCCCCAAAACGCCCGGAGGCCATCCGAGAGGCAGAGGCTTTGCACGATCCCCCATGCAGGGCCCCCCCCGCCCTGCCCCGAGGAACCCTGGGCCGAACAAACGGCTCCACCGCCAGTCCTGCAGGGGATCTCGTCGAGCTCAGCCTGCGAGGGCGACATCGGGCGCTTCCACCTGGCAGAACGGGTCGAGTGTTCCTTGCCTGCTCCACTTCGGGAGCGCGCTTAGCCTTCGCACAAGCCATGGAGCCCCCCAGTCCCCGCAGAGACCGTGGCACAGCCCCCGCAGGTCGAGCAAAAGAGGAGCGGAGGAAGGGCCTCGTCCGCCTCGGGAGACTCAAGCAGGCAGCGCCCCCCCCCCCCCTCCTGCCACGGCCTGGCCCCCTCGTCGGCGCCCCGGAGAACTTCTCCCTGGAGGCATCAGCTGCAGGGTCAGGATCCAGGCTGGGCGGTGCTGGCGAGGGGTCCTGGGCCGCGACAGCGGCGTCGTGGGCACGGGTTCCTTCCATCTGGGTTCCCTGGCCCGATGGGAAACCCTGGGAAGTCAACGAGAGCCCCTGAGCTTCTACATTGCCAAAAACACCCTGCTCGCTGTACGACGCCCCCGCTCTCGTGATAAACGGAGAAGTTGAGGAGACGAACGACACTAGGCAACCTTTGGCAAGCAGGATATCCACAGGGTCGTGCTGTATTGGAGCAGCTCCTAGCTCGGCGAGGCTGTCGGCTTCGTGATTCCCTATGCGCTTGAATTCAGACAGCAGGCCTTCTCTGACATCTTTCGCTGACGCGTAGGCGGGGACTTCCTTGAAACTGGCCCCATCGAGACCCCCCCGAGTCCCACGCGAGCTTCCAGAGATGCGCCCAGGGGTTCAAGGAGGAGAGGGCCCTGTGCTTATTTTGACCGCATTCGAGCGTGCCTCTGCAGTCCGTGAAAAGGGTGAAAACTCCAGCGCGCAGCTTCAAACCAATAAACGCATCATTGTCCCCACCGCCTCGTGCCACCTGATCAGGTAAGGTGGCTGGAGGCACAGAACCGTACCAGTCGGCATTACATCTGCGATCTTGGTCAAAGACGGTGGCACCCCATCCGGCCACACGAAGCGAGGGGAACATCCCATCTAGGCCCGAGCCGCCGCAGGACAAAGAAAACGATTGACAGCATTAGCGGCCCCGCCTGACCTCCGCGCACACGAAATTCCGTGGCAGGATTTCCTGGCAAGCAGCTGGCACGGGTCAGGCAGTATTCGTTTGGCAAAATGTTCATGAACCTCGATGCCGCACGCCGCTGCACGCATCACCGTTCCTTCCACGTTGTCGGGCAGATGGTCCCGCCTCCAGGGCAAGCATGACGGGCAGCGAACGTGGCGATGGAATAGGGCGCCTCGCTTGCCGCAGACGAGGCACTTCGAGGCAAGCATTGGGTCGTGCTGCTGCAGACGAAGCTGGCACCGGTGAGATCCTACGAGGAGCACTCGCAGCGCACGCTGCTCGCGAAATCCCCACGCCCCCCCAGTCCCAGGCTTGCCCCCGTCTTCCTTTCATCTTCCGACGCAGCAGCTCACTGAGAGGCCTCCAGGCAAGTTCACCACGACAAGCTTTGCCGGGGCCTATCTCTCCAAGCGCCGCAACACCCGAGAACCTGCGCGCCGAGGACCTCGCCCTCCTGGAGACGAAGGCTGGCGAAGCCCGCCTGAGGTCCCAGGTCTGCCGCGTGGATCCGGAGAGCAAGAAGTCGGCGTCACCCCAGCACATTTATACTATTTGTGCGTCGCCCCCCCGGGGGCGATGCGCGCACCGAGAAATCTTATAGTACATGCGTCGTGGCCATACCGCTCGGGAAACGATATACTACAAGATGGGTGTACTATATGTTTGGGTCGGACGCGCGCCTCCAAGGAGAACATATAGTACTAGTATGTCTTTGCGCGTCCCAAGAAGGGCCTGGAAAAGCTGAACCCAATCCCCCGGCAAGTCAGCATCAAGGCCGAAACAGGGCCCTTAGCGGGCGTCCAAGGTTTCGGCCTCTGGGCCACCGCTTGGGCTTTCGAAAACAGCGCCGCCAAAAGACGATCAGACGATCTGCCGTCCTGGAGAATCTGAGCATACGTCTTGATCGCTCCGGCGGAGACCTGCACTCAGGGATCCCTCAGCCAGCCTCCTCGCGCGCACGTGGACGCCGATGCAAGCGAGCACCTTTTGGGCAATCTACATTCCGCTCGGATGGCAGCGACCCTGAGACTCTTGAGCTCGCCGCAGGAAGGCCCTGGAGGTTGGCCTCCCAGAGGACCCTGGCCGTGGTGCCAGCACGAGAGGGAACCGTAGGGGCCCCATCCTCACGGAGGCTGGGAAGCCTGGCCACTTTGGCTTGGGTTTCCCAGATACGGGCCCGAGGGGTTGAAACGGTCCAAGATCGGAGGAGGAGGAGGAGGAGGAGGAGGAGGAGGAGGAGGAGGAGCGAGGAGGAGGAACGAGGAGAACCGAGCAGCAGGAACGAGGAGGAGCGAGGAGGGGCGGGCCACGAGGCGCCTCGTGCCCGTGGGCACCGCGGGCCCCCGGTCGCACCCCCTCCAAGATCGCGGTGGACAGCCGCCCTGGCCGCTGGGGGAAGGCTGAGGCTGCCTGCTAGCGGCCTGGCCAGTGACGGGAGTGGACGCGAGCACGCCGAGCTCACTCCGAGCGATCGGGGGACCCCTGGCCTGGAGATCCTGAGAGGCAGGGTAAACGGCTGACGAGAGCTACTCGCAAACTGTGGCTTGGCCTCCTACCGCCTGGAACGACATGTCATCCGTACCACTCTTAATCGCAACCGCGCGACAGGTTGAGACCATCCTTCTCGGCACCGAGACAAGCAGCAGCCGAGCGAGCGAGGTTGCACTTGAGCAGCCTGCAACGACCGCACCATTCGGGATGATTCTTTTGGAAATTGCCCCCTGCCAGGACACCCTTCGAGGGGGCCTGCAGATCATACAACAAGCCTTTACGAGGGACTTGGGAAACGTAGCCTGCTCAGCCGCCGCCAAGGGGTTCAGCGTGGCTGATGCGCTCATCGGATTTCCGCAGCTCAAGGAACAACGTGCCCTAAACCAGCCCTGGAGTTTTCGAGCAAACGAGGTCATCGCGTCGTGCGCCCGAGTGCTTTTTATCGTGCGCGCGCTGTGGAGGTGCTCATCCCCACCAAAGAAAGGAAGCATCCACTTCTCCCTCCCACTTGGAACAAAGGGAATGCCTGATTCCACCCCAAGCTCTGGCCCACACTGGCAGCAGAGACATCGGCCGTATCCCCCCCCGTCGGCTTAGACTGAAAAACATCAATCACCAGTCAAAGACGCCCCGCAGTAAGGCCCCTCTCCCACAAGGTGAGGATGTCCGCGACAGCCTGCACACGCGGAGGGGAGCGCTGCCTAAGAAACCTATGATGCAAATAATCCCGACGTAGCTCCGTACCATGGGGGAACGACTTGTCTGTGTGCAAGACCTGCTCGGGCGCCATTGGCGGCAAGCTATATATCTTCGCAGAGCCAGGCACCTCGCCAGCGGGGCTATCTTTGCACAGAACTGGCAACCACTCTTGCGACGTCTTCCTGAGAGCATCATCGCCTACTAGGGGAATCGAACCGCCTTCTTCGTTCAATTCACACATGACTGGCGAGGCAGGCACCGAGGGGCCCTCGGGGAACCTGCGAGCAATGCGCCCTTCCGAGAGCATGGGCGCCTGAGCCCAAGACCTCCATTTCTTACGCCTTTTGGCTGTCTCCTGAGGAACCCTCTGGAGAACTTCTGCTTGCAGCCAGCTCACAAAATCTGGGGCATGGTTGCCCTCGAGCATTCTTTTGATACGAGAGGCTGTTGACAGCGATCGCAGCCCCTCAACCTGCGCGCCTGGGAACAAACGGTCGTGCACTCGGGCGGATGTAACCCTGGCCGTGACATTGCCGTGCAGAGGATTTGGCTTGGGCGCAGGGCTTGACTCCGTGACGAGGAGCGGCGCCGTTGCCGTTGCCATGGCGGCAGGGTCCGTCAGCGTGTTGCGCCAGAAGCAGCGCCCTCAGCAGCGAAGGATGGCACGTCCCATGAGCCCGCGTTCTCAAGGCACCACCAGCCCGCACGGTTGCAGGCTGCCGTGGCGAGGTCTAAGCAGCAGCCGGGCAGGGCCAGCAGGAGGACCTTGTGCAGCGGCATCAGGCTTTCGCCCTCGGCTTCCGTCGCCTCCCCCAGGTCGGCCGTGGTGGGCGGCTCGGTTTCCGCTGCGGTGGAGGCGTGATTGCCTTTTAGGCCGTTGTTGGGGCCATTGCCTTGTTCTAGGTGGTTAGTTGGCTCGTCCGCCTGGGGGGCGCGGGGCTGCTGCCCAGGCCCTGGGCCGTTGCCCGTGCTACCGTGGCGCGGTGCAACGGTGGCGAAGTGGACCGCGGGTCCAGGGCCATGGGCATCGGTATCCGCTGCTGCCTAGGTAAGGAGCAGCAGCCCACAGATGAGGCACCAGCCTCCGTGGGGCGCTCTGCCAGAGCGATCCCCTCCAGGTTCGCCATGCGGGTCGGAGCCTTCGAGAGAGAGAGAGAGAGAAAGACAGATGGATGGCGAGAGAGAGAGAGAGCAAGAACGAGAAAGCGAGGACAGAGAGAGAGAGAGATAGAGAGAGATTGAGAGCAAGAGTAAGGGAGCCAGAGAGAGATAGAGGAAGAGGAATGAGGAGGAGGCACCGAAAGAGTGGGCCGAGAGAAGAGTCGAGGGACGCAGGGAGGGACCGCAGGAGGTCGAGGCGTTGCTGGCAAAGGAGCTCGGGAACTGTGGCCTCCAGGCCCAGAAGATACAGGACACGCGGCCACGATTGCTCGAGTCTTGCCCACTTCGAGAATCAGTGTATTGCTGCGCGCCCAGGATCAGGGGCAGCTTTAGGGGGGGGGGGGGGGGGGGAAGGCCTTCGAAGGGCGAAGCTCGAGCGTCGCTCTCTGGACGTTTCTGACCGTCCTGGGGGCGTCCTCGTGGCCCACGGCTGGATCCGCTCCGAGATCCTGCTCAGAACGCGCCCTACAGGAGCGGCCCAAGGAGTCGGTGGCTCGCCCCCGACGTGCGACTCTCTCCCGCCCCCTGACGCCATCCTGCCCGCAGCAGGCACACACCAAGCACCGACGCCCTGCCGGCCAGCAGGTGCCCCGATAGAGAGTCTCGCCCTGGAGCTCCACGGGCGGGGCGACGGCTGCCCCCCCCCGGGAGGTCTCTCGGCCAGATCCTTTTCTTCGCATGAGCGTACTCTCGCCCGGCGCCTACGTTCGCCCCCCTTCTCTCCTCCGCCTCCGCCTCCTCCTCGTCCTCCGTCTTCTCAAAGTGCGCACATTCGTTTTCTCATCCCCCTTCGTCCTGGCCCCACCTTTCTCCTCCCGCGTTTCGCCGCCAGAGCCTCAGCAGCCGCTCTTCCCGGTCATTCGCACTCCTATCGCATCCTCCCTTCTTCCCTGGCGCATTCGCATTATCCTTCGGATCCGATTCTGCCATAGCCATTTGAGCATCGAGCTTGCCACACAATTTGGTTGGCGCGCCGTGGCACTCACAGGCCCCGCGGTCACCTGAACACTTGCGAATTCAAGTCAAGGTCTTTCCGTAACGCTACGCATTGGGCTCAGGCCCGTTCCGAAGTTACGGGTGGCCTTATCTGATGGTATTTTGAATGTCGCCGGGCCCGGAACAAAAAAACAGTGCAGGGACGATTCGGGGTTATCGTTCTTCTCGTCGTTGCTGCTGCTGGCATGGCGAATCCAGCGTTTGCGCAAGTTTTCAGTTCAGTGGACGAGGATGGAATTGGTGCCGCTGCTGCCGCCCGCGACGAGGGAGGGGCGCCTAAGCAGTTCATGTGTGGCGACGGCCCACGATGTAGCGAACTTGCAAAAAAAGAGCTTGGATGGATTCAAGGCTTGCCATCATCAGACGATGTTTTGGAGTTAGGGCATCAATTTCAATCCACATGTGACGTCCCCCAGGCAGAGAATGTGACGTTGACGCAAACGTACGAAACCCAAGTACCAAGGCGGGGCTCAGGCTCCCCACCTGCGCCAGCACGGCAACATTTGGAGCCAAAAGCTTACGAGGGTGTGATGGCGGCCGTGGAGACGTCGTTGAATCAACCCTGGATCTTAATGTGACAATGGAGTTTTATACATAACCGTATGGGTTTTCAAAGAAAGTTATTCGTTACCAGCTAAAGTGCGCATTCTGAAATACCGAGAGAGTGCGGTTCAAATCCGCACGAGTAAGGTGCAAGCAGGGCTTCCTCGTTGCAAATGTGTGCGTGGAGAAATCCATCGACCGACGAGGTCGTGGACCCAAAACTGGTGAACTTGACGATCTCTATCCAAATCCGCCCAACATGGAGATATGCGAAGGAGCAGTGGTACATCGGCTGCACGGCTCACGTGACGAGTATGGCCCATGATGGGCATGCAAAAATGGTGGGGCAGCTACGTCCAGACACTTGGTCTGACACGTGTGTCCTTTCGTGTGTTGTATCAACGCTCAGTTCAGGTGCTGCTTCTACGAATATTGACGCCCCTCCTGGCATGTTCAACGATGCCGCGCACTTGTGTTGGGCGGAACATATTAAAAATAGAAGGCATCGGTCAAGTTCGGCAACCTGAATCAATGGACAGAGAGTGTCAAGGACAAAACAATGGAAAAGTGAATCTCTCTCTCTATATATATATATATATATCAAACTGGAAAAGTGGCAAGGACAAAACAGCGGAGAGACGCGAAAACTACCCAGGGGACCGCGGCGAGTCTCAGCCCTGAGGAGTGTGCTCACGCAGGCGGTCGCCCAGACCATGCGGGACAGCCGTATAGGATTTTTCAAGGGCAGAGGGAGTGGCCACAGTAGCTCTTCGACCGCCCAGAGTATACCTACCAGCCTCGGACTTATCCCTATCCCTAAGATTGGCACGCCAAAAGGCGATGACAATCTTAGGGATGCGCCCTCATAAAATAAAAGAATCCCTAAGATTGGCATCGTGATGAGGAGATGCCCAGCATAGGGATAGGGATATGTTCCAGGCTGGTAATTAACTCGACAGCGCGATCCACATGGTTGGCGCACAGGGGCGGCTTGAAGGGGAGGGCCGAAAGAATGTTGCAGCAGAGCGCGTTTTGGAAAAGCTGGCCAGAAGTATGCAAGGGCGGCGTTTTCAACGTGCGAACCAGCGCTGACCTGGACGTTTCTGGTCGTCCTGTGGTGTTTTTTGACCCCGGCTGGATCCAGGTCCAGATATTGGCCAGCGCGCACCCCAGGAGAGGTCAACGAATCGATGTTTGACCCTTGATGGGCGATTCCACGCCCTTATCCTCGCGATCTTGCCCGCGGCAAGCACGCCAGTCGCGATGCCTGCGTGCCAGCGCATGCCCCGCGGAGATCTCCATAGAATGGCACGGGCTGGCGACAGATGCCCCCCCCAGATGTCTTACAGCTGGATCACTCTGGCATGTCGTCACCCGTTCTGCTCCTGCGTCCACCCTCTCCTCTCATCCGCACCACCTCCTCCTCCTCCTCCTCCTCCTCCTCCTCCTCCTCCTCCTCTTCCTCCTCACTGTGCGGGAAGGTTTCGTGATCTTGTTCGGGGATGGGTCGGGTGGGATATTCTCGGACGTTCTTGGGCGTCGAAGGGGCGGCGCGGGGAGTGTTGCTCTGGCTTCCGGCGGCGCCTGCTGGAAACCTCCTCGGGGTCTCGGGTGCCCGACCGAGGGCTCAAGACAGTCTGCGCCGCGAGCGGAGATGCCTGCTCTGGATGAGGCCATCAGAGACCACGGGTGGCAAGCGTGACGGACCACCGTCCCCCGCTGGGCTCTGGGGGGTCTTGCGCCGCGCGAGTTGCTTGCGCGCGGGGGGACCGTCAACGCGCCAAGATAAGGCCTGGCTTGGGTTCGGACGGGGTTCGCTGCTCCTCGTTCCTTATGTTGCGTTCCTTCTGGTGATACCTCGACTGTAATTCGAATCGAATGTGTTACTTTGTCTTTGTTGATGCTTCTGGATCCTCGCGATTCTTGGAACGTCGGCATGACAATTCCAACCGTTCATGTGGTTTCGCTGCCGTCATCTCGGGATCGATCGCGCGATCTGTGCGCGTGGTGAGGCCTTTGCGTAAGTCTTCGGCATCCAAGCTAACGTCGATGTCGTCCACAGCCCCTGTGAGCCTGCTGGCACATTGGTCCGTGGTCTCTCACCGAGGCGTGCTGGGCGTCGTCGACGCTAGTCTCCAGCGGATCCGCGAGACCGCGGTCTCATGCAAGAGGACCTCGCAGGCCCGCGGAGGCCGCTCGGAGGCCCACCGTTCCTCACAGAGCAGGCCACGCGAGCGCTGTGCGGCGATGGTCGAGAGGCCCTCCCAGGCCGGCCCCCGAACTCCAGAGGCCCCCCCGCCCCTGGCAACAGAATGCCATGCGAGCGTCGCGCGGCGATCGAGGAGGCCCGCGGAGGCCGCTCAGAGGCCCACCGTCTTCGACAGATCACGGAAAGCGCGAGCGTCGTGCGGCGGCGGTCAAGACAGGCCCTCGGGGGCCGGCCTCGGGGCCTCCCCGCGGCATCGCGCTCGCGAGGTGCGCCGAAGTTTTGGGCCGCAGCTCGCCCCGAGTCCCCGCGTGCGTGCGCGCTGTCTTCCTCTCGCGCGCTTGCGCGCGCGCGCGCGTCTGGGTGGGGATTCGGAGGCGCGGTTGCCGCTGAGATACATCTCTAGTCTGCTGCGCGCGCGCTTGCGCGCGCGCGCGTCTTGGTAGCGATTCGGGGGCGGGGCGGCCGCTGAGGTACATCTCTAGTCTGCTGCGCGCGCGCTTGCGCGCGCGCGCGTCTGGGTGGGGACTGCGGGGGCGGGGCGGCCGCTGAGGCGCATATCTAGTCTGCTGCGCGCGTGTTTGCGCGCGCGCGCGTCTGGGTGGGGACTGCGGGGGCGGGGCGGCCGCTGAGGTACATCGCTCTAGTCTGCTGCGCGCGTGGAGGCTTCTGGGTGTAGCGCAGGGGCGGGTTTGGCCAGCGCCGCCTGCGAGGCGGCACCGACGAGCGAGGTGTTCTCGGGTAAGATCTGCATCTTGGACAGCTACACGCGATAAAACCGTCAAGCGTGGATTTAGCCCAGCCTGCAGTGTCGGTGAAACTCTAAGGCCTCTGGGCCAGAATCCAGGCAGCTGTCTCTGCCCGTGGGCCTGGTTGCACTGAGCTGACAGGGGTCCCCTCTCACCAGGGGGTGGCCAGCCTCCCTGAGGCCGAGAGGTCTCGAGCGTTTGGCAATGAGTGTGCCGATGCGCTCGCGGGCGAGATTGATGAGATGAGTTGGACCGAGTTTGTGATTGAGCCCATCCCCCTCCCTGACAGATTTAAGTCGGGCCTGTCCCTCCACAGGAGGAAAATTCCAACATGGTCAAAACATGCTCTGGGGAAGATGTTTTGAGTATTTGTTTCGCCATCTTGGAGTATTTCTTGGGTATTTGGGGATTGTCGCCCAAAATCCGCCTGTAGGGGGACATGCCCGACCTAATGATAGATGGGACGCTGAGGCGGCCCCGAGCCGTCGTCGGGCGCGGAGAGCCCTGACTGCCTCGGTCCAAGCCGATCCTCGGACGTCCGAGCGTCTCTCTCTCGAGAGAGTGTGGGCCCCCCCTATTCACCAGCCGGCGCAAGCTTTGAAGGACTCGGGGCGCTCCTGGGGTCGTGCTGGCGCCAAGGACTTCTGCCGCGAGTGCGACCCGGCTCTCGAGTCGGGCTTCGATGTTCCAGCTGTGTGCCACCCATTGCGCTCCGCAGAGCTCCCTCAAGTCCTCGCCTCGTCAGGGACCCGAGAG